CTCTTGTTTTTAGTGTTAACGATTTTTTAATTACTGTAATCTAGGTACAAAAAAGAGCTCACTTTAGCCATGGAGCGAGAGGCTTCCTTAGAAAGATCCAGAGCCCAGTTGGAAGTTGACTGGCAGCGGCGCTGTGAGGACACTGAAAGAGAAGTGTACAGCAAACAGGAGCAACTCATTACTGGTCTCAGAAAGCAAAGAGATGAGGTAAATGTACAATCATCGGTGGGATTTTCTGGAAAAGTGAATTAAAGCTACAACCATGTCCATTTCATCAGATTCTGAGCCTGGCATTAGACTATTTTATTTGGTTTAAGAACAACTGACCCGGGGACCTGACGTGGTGGGTACTAACTGAGGACTACAAATAAAGGGGCGTTCCTGCGTAGCGTTTGTGTGTGTTAAAAGTGGGAAGGTGGTAACTTAAACGCTGATAATTGCAAATAAAACTCCGACGTTTTGGCAATGCTGCCTTCATCAGGGCAAAATAATATGTGAGTTCGTTGTAGCGGAAAATTTTAAAAGTTGAAAATGCGCGCGTAAAAACAAGTGAGTGTGCGCGCGCGCAAGTCACGTGAAAGAGAAATCGTGATTGAGTCCACCCAGTGTGAGGGTGCCAAAATTATGAATAAAGTGCATCTCCTCTCATCTTCTTTTGTCTTGTTCGGGTAGACTAGCTCTAATCACGGCTACTTGCATGTCCTCCAACTGGTGGTCCACTCCCGCAAAATGGACAGGCACCGGCAGGGCCACTAACTGAGGGCTCTCTACCTCTATAATGAAAACCAATGACACTTTTACCATTAAAGATGTGCTCTAAGAGGAGTCCAATTTGGTCTTGTAATCTTACAAGTGATTAACAAATACGGGGCTGTCTGATTTGTTTAGTCATGAGTATGATCACAGACTGAATTGGACAGCAGGAAGTTCTGTTACCAATCAGTCATAACTACAACAAAATCTGCTATGCTTAAGTTTTTTAAAGATTTTAAGAATAAAATAAAAGATATTCCAAGAGTATTTTGCTAGAAGTGAAAACAAAAACATTCTGTTGCACACGCACGATGCCACTTACTGTCCAATTACTTAGGCATAATGCATACTGTCTTACACTGTCCTATTAATGCTGAAATCAGTGCAGTTGATAGCCAATCTGATTTGAGAATTTTGTTATTGTTAGGATTAACACTGATATTACCTAACATCATTATTTTTATCTTGGAGCAAGTGTATTAAGCTATAATACAGTTAAACCTCTCCTTATGGACACCTCTCTTGGTCCCAAAGATGCCCAATTTCATGCAGTTTCTACCTCTACAATGAAGGCACCTTTCTCTATTCTAGACAGTTCTCTAGGTCTTAAAGATACCAAACGTCATACAATTCCTACCTCTATAATACAGACACCTCTGTAATAAGGAATCTTAGCTCTGTCCTTTTGGTGTCCTTAATAAAGAGTTTTAATGTAGTGTCAAATGCTACTGTAATTTATGGAAGTATAATCATGGCTTTGGTGTTTATATCTGTCAGTCTGTGGCATTAGCTCAAGAGCGAGAGCGGGAACTGGCTCAGCGGGATAGCCTGATACGTGTATTGACTGAGACCAGAGATCAGGCCCTTGCCACGCTTCAGAGACATGGTCTTGCCATTCCAACACAGTTACCCAGTAAGGAGAAACAGACGGCAATCAATGCACATGGCACTGCTGATCGACAGGATTTACCTGCAGAAGAGAAGATCAAAGCCTTGGAAGTTCAGAATGCTGAGTTAAGGGCTGTGATCAGACAGATGCGACATGACATGGAGGATCTTAACAACCAGCTGGCTGGCAGGCCTCCCTCTGTTTTGGTACGAGGCAGAGATGATGGAGAGGGGCCCTCTGTACCACTTACCAAAGGTATGTTGTAGTGCCTGGTTGTCATGGTGATGTCACTGAATTCAGTATAACCCTGTATAACAGTGTAGTTACATAGAACAAACTTACTAACTTAGAACAAACGCCACTGAATTGTGGTTAGCAGTCACCAGCACCTTTCAAACGACCCACTGACAGACTGGAGCAAAACTGACAACCATTGACTGGTCAACTGACAATTTGACTAACAATTAAGAACCGTTATAACTGTGAAAAAAGACGGATCGAAGCACACCAATCTCACATTTCGAGTCTTTGTAGCCTATAACAACGATCGATAAGATTGCGATTTTATTGACCAATCAAGTCAATAATCAGAGTCAAATACCATCAACTGACTTGCTTCTCACAAGTTGTCAAAACATCGGTCACTTTTAACAGTCCTATTCAGAACTTTATTCACCCAGATAATCATATTCCACCTTCTCATGAATTCAGTATGTCACATGCCTGGAAATGATTTGTGAAAACAACAAGCAGTTCTTATAATAATCTACATAAATTACTAGAAGCAATGAGAGGAGTACTGTGAATTACCTCTATCTGACATGACATTTTTTGGTTCAAAATGATAACTGGGTAAAATGCATCCATAAACTGTTACATTCAAGAATTTAACGCGTATTTCTTGTTCATTTCTGTATTCGTATGCACTCACCTTTTTCATCAAACATAATTAACCCATTCACTCTTCAGACGATCAAAACTGCCTAGTATTTATTATTTTTATTTTTAAAAAACATGATTCTTTTACCACAAACATGTCGCCAGTTTAAGTGCTCAAAGACCTCACAATTCCCAGACTTACTGACTTGCCAATAACCTCCCTCGCCAGAATACGTTGAGTCATTGGAGAAAGAAATCACAGAATTAAAATCAAAGAACAGAACACTGCGACAGAGGATGGAAGAAGTGGCATCTAAAGCCTCCAAACCTCCTCCGTATGGTCGGCCTGGGCTACCTGGAACTCAGACACAAGATCCATTTATACAGGCCCATATCAAGGAACTGAACGGAGCAGTCGGTAATGATAATAATGATAATAGTTACACTAATAATAAACAATTATTGGATGAGGTTTTTGTGATATCCCGAATAATCAAGATCGAGGTAAGAGTTATCAGCCGAACCTAACTAATCTGTAGGTTGCGCTGAGTTCCAAAATTAGCTGTAGGCTCTTAGCCAATAAGAAAACAGATGATGAGTACAATGTGTAATAATAATAACTGGTAATAACTAAAGGTTACGGAGTGCGGGCGACAGCGATCGAAGGTCAAAACGCTTTTGCTCCATCACTCTGCTTTGCTTAAGTTTCACGTGAGAGATAGTCAAAACACGCGTAATCAGATTATAAGTGATAGAAGGTCCAAACGTGCGTGATCAAATTGCGTTCTATGCGTTCCATTCATTCTTAGTGGAAGTCTAAACGAGTGCTGGCTACATACATGCGACGCATGCGTAATAACAACGTGGAGATTAGGATTGCGGACCCCTCCTGTCGCCCGCAATAAAACAGTCAACTCTATCTAGGGCTGACAACTTTGGGACGGGCACTAAGTGTCCGTCTTAGAGAGATGTCTATCTTATAGAGGTGTCCCTTATGAGAGAGACGACTGTAAAATCAAGGAACTGCATGGAGCAATCTAACATATGGCACACGGTGATGCCAGATTCTGGTATCACGAATCAGAGGCGATGAAAAAAGTCTACAGGCTCCCATACCGTTCGTTCTTCTCTCCACACTACCCTCCCCTGGGAGCCCATTCATAAGCTTATGGATAGTCTTCATACTTTATCTTTGATCAGGAGCTTTACGTCAGGAAAAGCTTGAGCTGTCGGCACAAGTGAAGAAGCAGCAAGCTACTGTGGATCATCTTCAAGGATCATTGAACCAAGCTCATGAGGAGGTATGGTGATAAAACATACACTGTACATAGAGGTATTGCTATTGTCGTTAATGTATTGCTTAGCGGAGACATTTTTAGATTTGCTCTGTTCACTGGACTGTCTTTCCCCATATGAAAATTGAAAACGTGTCGGTATCACCAACGCAGGGCTCTCATTAACGTTGAAATTAGCAGAGAAAGTACCCGTTTAGTGGCCAACGAATCGTCCCAAATTTGTTATGTTTGACTCATTTTCAAACTCAGAATAGCTGGCTGACTTTGCTAAAAAAGAGTCAATATAAACTGAAACTTATCTGTTACCGATGATGTTGTATGGAGCAGAGTGACTTACCAGCGGAGACAAAAATAAACGTTTTTTGAGGTCAAACAAAATTTAATCTCAACATTTTAATCAAAAAGGTGGAAGCCCTCAATAAAGAGCTTGGCAGAAGAAATAACGGGCATAGAACCCACGTCCCCAGCCAACACACGCAATTAAACTATAAATTAAGATTACCTACAGCAAAGAAAACTGTTAGTAAGACATACAATTTGAATAATACTGTGGTAGGCCATTTTCACGAAATAACGAGTGCCGTTTGTGTCCAGTACCGTAAATGATCGAATAGAAGCCCACTCTCAAATAAACGCCTCCTTTACGCTGTCAAGTTTGTTTTAGACGCCCCTCTTTAATGAACACCCTTTGTCTCATAGACGCCCCCATGAGAATTACTCCAAAATACCAGGAATTAGCAAAAAGGAGCAAAATCAATCAACTCATTCAGTTTTTTGCTTGATTAACAAGGCCTTGCGTATTTCATGTTGTTCAATGTCAAGTTCAAATTAAAGTAAGGATAGACATTGGTAACACAAAAACCCTAAGCGAGGATTCTGACATCGATGTTGGGATTTGAAAGAGCGATATGGATCTCTAGACGGCCAAGACGTATCAATTGATGGAGTGGGTAATTCGCTGTTTTTAAACTTAGATGATATGTTTGCCGAAAGCATATTAGTTTGTTGAGCTTGTTACAGTAATGAGAATAAACGTTTATTATATATGTACTGAGATTTACTGCAAAATGAATATGTCAAATAAAAATGATGCGTTGCAGAGTACACCCAATCTGATTGGTTGTACGATTTTTCTCACTAGTGAAAAATACCGTATGACCAATCACAACCCGCAGACGAAAGTTTTCACTAGTGACAAAAATCGTATCGATTTTCCCGCCTTTCACTGACGGCGTCACTAGGCAAAAGGAAAACCATGGCGTCTTCTTCGAGCAATTCAAGGTTTGCAGATATAACTTCAGTAGAGGAATTTATTGAAGGACAAGAAAACGAAAACACCAGGAAGAAAACTGAACAGAATGTTGCTTTGCTTAAGGAGTTTTTGAGGCTAAAAGATGAGTCAAGGCCTGTAGAAGAAATTCCCCCACACGAACTGAGTTCATTCATCAGCGAATTTATCATAACAGTAAGAAAGAAAGAAAACAACGAAGATTACGAACCCACTTCCTTGCGTGCTATGATGGCCAGTTTTGAACGGTATTTAAAGAAGAAGAATTACGGCTACAGCATTATGAGAGACGTCGAGTTTGAAAAAGCACGAACGGCATTAAAATCAAAACAAAGAGATCTCAAGAAGAAAGGCAAAGGCGATAAACCAAACGCTTCAGTTCCCCTCACAGAAGACGACATAAAACTGCTGTATGACAAAGGATTGTTAGGAAAGTCAACTCCTGAGGCTCTACTGAATACAGTTTGGTTCAACAACACAGTCTATTTCGGTCTCCGTGGTTGTAAGGAACACAGAGACATGTGTTGGGGCGATGTGCAACTACGCCAAACTACAAATGGCGAGGAATTTTTAGAGTATACTGAGAGACAAACTAAGACTCGAACCGGAGAAAATCCCAGAGATGTCAGGCAAATAAAACCGAAAATGTTTTCGGTTCAGGGAAGTGAAAGAGATCCCGTCACTGTTTACAAATTCTACGCGGAGAAAAGACCGTCGGAAATGAACGACAACAACGCGCCATTTTATCTAGCAGTAAATAACTGTAAAAAACAAGATTCTTCTAAACCATGGTTTAAAAAGTCAGCCGTTGGCGTGAACAAGCTGAATTCGTTAATGAAAAAAATGGCAGAAAAAGCCGGGCTGGGGCCCAATGTAAAGAACCATAGCGGTCGCAAAACAATGATCCAAACTTTAACAAACAACGACATCCCAGCGACAGATATTATTCAACTGTCGGGACATAAAAATCTTCAAAGTGTGACAAATTATTCTGTAGTTTCTGAAAAACAGCAAGTAAAAATGTCTCGTACTTTAAGTGAACTGATGTCCGGGAATGTGCATAGCTTAGAGAAAACTAATTCATCTCAAGTTGGAGAATGCTCCACTGATCCTTCAGCTAGCTCGGCGGGTCGCTCGGCGGCAGATCATCACCAACAAGCGATGTCGCTTTTCACGGGCGCTGTTATTCATGGAGGTCAATTCAGCATTTCTATTAACAGCCTCAATCAATCCCCGAAGTTGGCAATCCAAGAAGTTGAGGTAAAGTCTTCTCCAAAGAGGTACAAAAGGCTAAAAGTACTGGACTCTGACTCTGATTAGAATGCATGCATTACTATAATTAGATTTACAAAACAGTCAACTTTTTCAAATTTTATATCTTAGTTACGGTTTTGAACGGCGATATTTAAAGCTGAAAATTTTCATTGTTATTTAAAGTTAAAGAATCGTTTAAAAGTAGACTTTGTTCCACTTTCTTCAGAGTCATTGAATAACTTTAATGTTGTAGGAAGTTTTGTACGTTCAGTTTGCTCGAATAAAATCATTCGCAACTCGTTGTGGTCTTTGTGTTGATTTCACCGCGCAATTGATAGTTGTTAACATTATTTTGTAATATCTCAGTACATATATAATAAACAAATTACCTCATGGTTGGTTCGCTTGTACGATTTTTATTCACTCGTTGTGAAGAATCGCAAACTCACTCGTTCGCTGCGCTCACTCGTTCGTTTTCGATTCTTCACAACTCGTGAATAAAAATCGTACGCACTCACCAACCATGAAGTAATCTCTATTTATTAAACGCCCCCGCTTGGACGCGCCCTATAATTAAATAGACGCCCTGGGCGTTTAGTAGGTCATTAACGGTATTTAACTGTAGTTGTCTTAATGGCTTTGTGTTTTAGGTTCGCCAGAAACAGTTAGCAGTAGATCAACTGCAGTACGAGCTTACAACTCAAAACAGACGTGCAACTGCTGAGCTTAGTGCCCTAAAACAGCGAATAACAGAACTGGAACTGCAGCTTATTCAGACCAAAAAAGAGGCTGATGAGTACTTCAAAAGTGGACTGGAAAGGAATGCTGAGGCCACTTCCTTGGGGAATCAGGTAGCACTTCAAATACATTCATCACTTTAACATTGCCTTTAATAAAGACCTTTAGTGTGTAAGACGAGGACTGACGACTACGAGAACTAGATGATCTCAATGCCCAGAAGTGCGCGAGCGTCAACCAGCGTCATTTTGGCGGGAAAACATCCAAATCGAGGTTCAAGTGTTTGGCAGACAAAAATGTGATAAAACTATCTTTTGACAAAACAACATGGACTGGTTTGTTACCTAGGACCCGCTCTTTTAATCTTGAGATTTAGATTTAAACATTTGTCCATAGAAACTGGTCATCACTTAAAAAATTGTGTCATAATTCAAAAGTATGATCTCTTGGCTGCGCTACATTGACACAACGACGAAGTCAAAGTTAAGCTTCGAACGCATTGTCCTCGAAGGATGCTAATCTCAATTTTGATGTTATGACCAACTGATTTGGATTTTCTTTTCTCTACTTCAGCTGTCAACGCTTAAAGTGGAACTTGCATCCCAGGGGGGAGGGGGTAAGCTGTTTAATCCTCAGGCTTCAGTTGTTAAACAGCTTCAAGAAGAAATTCTTCGTCTCCGAAGACAGCTTTCATCAGGTAGGTATAAACGTCAGTCACTTTTCTGCATATGGAAGTCATTCTGATATGCGTAGAACATTTAGAGGTAGCAAAACAAGCGGATACCAAACAGCATGCTTACTACTCCATTCAGTGTTGTTCGGGATCTCCTGCATAAGTGGATCGCGTCCTTTCAAACAACTCGTTATTGCAGATAACCCTTCACCCGGACAGCAATCCATAAAGCGACTTTGAATGAAGTACAAAATATCCAGTGCGTATCACTTTCATGGAAAGTAGTGGTGTTTACATATATTATCTTGAAAAATCTATTAGAAACATAGTCGCAAGCTCCTTAACTAATAAACTAAAGTGCTACTACTAAGAATAAAAATACGATAGAGTATAAATAGGAAAGGACAAGCATTTACCCTAGTAGCATTGACATGGAACGCGTTATTTTTTTTTAATGCTCGTTCTGTCTCTAGTATGCAGCACATCTTAATTTTTTACTTTCTTTATATGTTCAACTAGGTGTTCAAACCAGCGACGAAGCCTCCTTCGACCCATATCCTGCCTCTAACGTGTCTNGGACTGGTTTGTTACCTAGGACCCGCTCTTTTAATCTTGAGATTTAGATTTAAACATTTGTCCATAGAAACTGGTCATCACTTAAAAAATTGTGTCATAATTCAAAAGTATGATCTCTTGGCTGCGCTACATTGACACAACGACGAAGTCAAAGTTAAGCTTCGAACGCATTGTCCTCGAAGGATGCTAATCTCAATTTTGATGTTATGACCAACTGATTTGGATTTTCTTTTCTCTACTTCAGCTGTCAACGCTTAAAGTGGAACTTGCATCCCAGGGGGGAGGGGGTAAGCTGTTTAATCCTCAGGCTTCAGTTGTTAAACAGCTTCAAGAAGAAATTCTTCGTCTCCGAAGACAGCTTTCATCAGGTAGGTATAAACGTCAGTCACTTTTCTGCATATGGAAGTCATTCTGATATGCGTAGAACATTTAGAGGTAGCAAAACAAGCGGATACCAAACAGCATGCTTACTACTCCATTCAGTGTTGTTCGGGATCTCCTGCATAAGTGGATCGCGTCCTTTCAAACAACTCGTTATTGCAGATAACCCTTCACCCGGACAGCAATCCATAAAGCGACTTTGAATGAAGTACAAAATATCCAGTGCGTATCACTTTCATGGAAAGTAGTGGTGTTTACATATATTATCTTGAAAAATCTATTAGAAACATAGTCGCAAGCTCCTTAACTAATAAACTAAAGTGCTACTACTAAGAATAAAAATACGATAGAGTATAAATAGGAAAGGACAAGCATTTACCCTAGTAGCATTGACATGGAACGCGTTATTTTTTTTTAATGCTCGTTCTGTCTCTAGTATGCAGCACATCTTAATTTTTTACTTTCTTTATATGTTCAACTAGGTGTTCAAACCAGCGACGAAGCCTCCTTCGACCCATATCCTGCCTCTAACGTGTCTCGGTTACACAGCAAACTGCAAGAGGCGGCGAGGCGCATAAGCCAGCTGTCTCAAGAGAAAGAACAGCTCATTCAGATGGGAAACAGATTGAGAGCTGAACTGACAAAGTTTACAGGTAAAGTCTTCTTTTTTGGTAAAATATCTCGTAAAATATACTGTAGAGCTGTAGATTAGCCATCAGCTAGTCAAGGACTTCAGCAATCCAACAACATGACCTAACAGTTTCAATCTGGGTTTGGGGAGTCGTCAGGAAAGCCAAATAAAACACCTCTGATCTTTTACAAATACAGATCATTTTAGATTCATCTTTTCATTTTAATTGCACCTATTCTGGGCGGAGAACCACATATTTTTGTTTTCTTTTTTAGACATAATTGCCTCATAACTCGCTGGTTTTCGAACCTGCTGCTTTCGTTTTAAGTATCAAATAAAATAAAGGCGATTTGCAACTATTTTTATTGTACGAAAATGCATTTTAGTTTCGTTCATGCCACTGACTTCATTTCTGACATGGCTTCGTATGAAATAAAACGCATGATACAGACAACTCTTTTAGCAGACACTTTTCAACGGTCACTTTTAAAATATGGTCCTTGCCGCTCTTCAGTCACCCGTCTATAGTGGACACTTTGTGAGTAGCTCAGATGTGTCCATCTCAAATTAAAGGAGTCTCACTCTCTTGCGAAACACTTGTGTCAAATCGCAGGTGGTAGAAAGAGTGCTCCCCCTGGCTCCATTTCTGTCCAGACGTCTAAGCCCCATACCGCCTCTATGGGAAAGACCCCAAGGGAGTTGAATGATGATATTCACAGTCAGCTTAATGCTGTGGAAAAGCTTCAGTACCAGCTCACCTCTCATGAACTCCAATACGCTCAGCGCATGGCTCAGAGCGAACAACAAGCCGTCGACAAGGCCAAGGTCACCGTTGTCTCAAGCTCCAGTGATTCTAATGAAGGTTTGTGTGTGTTAACTTATTGCCGAACGTACACGGTCACAACGTTTATCGTGCGCTTTGTAGCCTGCGTGGCAGGCGTTTGGAAAGGAAAGGAAAAGGGTTTTGGGCGCGAGGGAGACGCGAGGGGCGCGCTCCCTCGCGTTTCTCTTGCGCCTAAAACTCCCTTTCCCGTCCCTTTCAAACGCGTGCCACGCAGGTTATGCGCTTTGTTGTTGTGATGAAGTAAGAACGAACCTAACCTACGACGTAAACAAAGCACCAAATACATACGCAGTAGCGTGCAAATCTGTAGTGTCTTTTTCTAGGACAATAGGCGCTGTAAATTACAATAAATAAATAAATGAATAAAAATAAGTGAGTAAAGATGTAGAGGTACCAAATCCACATAGTGGTTATTCGTCTACCATTCCCGATCGAACTGGAATTTGAAAATGTTGGTTTTTGAGGAGAGGGGAAAACCAGAGCACCCAGAGAATTATCTTTAAAAACAGAGAAAAATACTAGCAGTAAACTCAACTCCTATTTGACGCCAATTCTGTGCCACGGTTGTGAGAGGAGAAAGCTCTCACCACCGCGCATGCGCCGGTCTTGTCTCCCATCAACAACTGACTGCGCCTGCGTGTGTTGCTTGTGCTTTGCTTACGTCACAGTGTAAGGTGGGTCTTAAAAAATTCGTGAATTGATTTGAAGTTTTTTTAGTTTTATGCGAGAAAGAGCGTAATCTCTACCTGGACCTTTAATGCAAGGCGTTTCCCTACTGAGCATCCTGCGAAAACAACAGGACTCGACTTCTTTACGTGTATTGCGTCTCTTTTGCGGAAATGATTAACTTGAGCGACTGTCCGAAAGTCGGGTTGTTTAATTTGTTAAAGGTAAAATTATTTTCGTGTTATTTAGACGGGAGAGCTCCGGAGCCTCTAAAAGAATCCCAAGAGATGGAGTCACGTGATGTAAGCGCAAAGAAAGACGTACCAGCAGAGGATCACGTGACCAAGCCTTTAGTCATTCAGAGAACATCGTCTCCTGTGTATGAGCAGTCGCTGTTCACTTCATCCTCTGAGGGTCAAGCTTCGTTACAGGAAATCTGGAAAATGTTAGATGCTGAAGAGAGTTTCCGGAGCCCGACTCCGAGAAAAGGGCGACCCAGCTCTCCTCAAAAACTTGCAGTCGAGCGAAATGTGGAACCCGACTATATCCCCGCACGCGATTTGCCGGAACGCGACGTGTTTGCTTTGAAAGGAAGACGAACGGAGGTTCAAACCAGGCCTGCCAAACATCGACCAGAGATGTCTAAGAAGGCATCTGGGAAGGTTAAACTAACTCCGAAAAAGATAAAGGTCAGAAATTATAACGTCAAAGATGATTAAACTGAGTTTATGAACAGTTAAAAGAGTTTAACCACCTAGTTGGTTGGTTGTTCTCTACTATATACAGTCTACCCAACTCTATTGGGACAGAACTGTCTAACAGAGTAGCTGGGAAGGTCAAGCTTTTCCAAAAAAAGTTTAAAGTCACGGATAACAGCGTCGAGGATAATTGGCGTTTATGACCAATTGAACTAATGTGACAACCTGTCGGTTCGTCTGTGCTCCTAATAGTCCATACACGTTGCTCCGAAGAAATATGAAGTTAGGGCGCCTAGGCCAGTTGGCTCCGTAGCCTGCGACTGCTGCGAGCAAGCTCACCATTTATGGCGAGAGAACGCGCGAGCGAGCACTTGTCTCTCCTTTCGCGTGTTGCTCGCGCGTGACTTCTCGCGGCTCCCCAAATGGAGAGCTCGCTCGCAAGCAATTGGCTCCGAGGCTGAGGGATATAAAGCGAAGGAAAACGTAGTGTGAGTGAGTTTAATTTCAGGGATGAATTAGGGAGTCGGCTGAAGGATTACATTCTGCTTCCTTTCCCCCGCCTCCTCCCCCTTAAAGGAAGACACTGCCCTACTGCAGTCTAGAGAGCACTATGCTCTTCAAGGACAAACGACAGTAGGCATGAGATCAAGCTCTTACCTTTTTTTTCTTTAACTCTTGTAAGTTCTGTACGACTCTGTTTTAAAGCTTTGTTCAAATGCGAGGAGTATTGTAGACTCTCGATTTTGGTTGGCGGGCACTCTCATTGATGTTCTTTACAAGTTCAACTCACGTCAACTCGCTTTCCCGTTTGGATTACAAGATCAATGTTCGAAAGTAGCGTAAAGGATAAATATTTCTTCACCGCTTTTGGTCGATCAAGTGTATGCCCTGTTTTTCTCTTTATTTCTAAAAAATTTTCTTAAGAGCTATTTATAATATTAAACTACTTGATACTAAAGTACTTATTTATTTACACAAAACTAAAAGTGTAAATACTTCCAGCAGTTATTCCACAATTACCATCTTTAAGTTTAAGTTTAAGCTGTTTTTCTTGTAGCTTGTTGATTATTAGTTAGTATCGCTATTAGAAAACCCCTACTCAGTTTATAATACTCTAACGTGATCCGCTATATTACGCTATAAAATGCTAGAACTAACAAAGATCTTTTCTGCGTGCTACTTTTTCTCCAGGAAAGCTTTGTGTCACTAATGGTTTGCGTGTCATATAAATATATTGGCTAAATAATTATCGTAAATCTTGAACTAAACTGGTTCTAGGCGCTTGTTTAATTTATGAGTCAACAAGGGGATTGAGGTTGACAGTGCTCATGTTCGGAAAAAGGGACTCCTTCTTTATTTCCTGAATCATTTATCTTCACATGTATGGCCATTTGCTTTGTTTCATTTGTAATGTAACGTTAGTGAATAAATAGGATCTTTTATCTCGCACAACTTGTTCACAAAACTAGACACAAATGTTAATTTATCCTTTTATCGTTTGTTTAGTTTAATTATTATGTTTTGAGGACAGTGGCAAATAGCAAGTTATAAATCCCCGTTGTCTCATGTACCCTAAAGAATATCATTATTTAATCATTTATTTATTTTTGTCTTCGCGAGGTTCCAGAAAGATGGGCGGCTATCAATAGATTCGTCCCAGCTGATTCTTTTCTTGAAAAGCCGCATCCATTTCTGTCATTTTTCCTTGGAAAAGGTGTGTTTTACAAAAATCCTACCTCAGTCTAAGCTTTTGGCTATCAAACGCCTTTCCTACGAAAGGCGCGAACACCGTGTTAATTCTGTATCTTTTAAGACTTCGCTAAAAGTTCTTGTCAGTTTACTTGAAATGCTCTTCGTTGTGACATTATCAGATGAGCCGTGATATCCTGGAAGAGAAAAGAAAGTTGCGGAATGTTGAGAGTCATTATCATTTTGCATTTTCACTTTACATCAAGATAAACAAAGCGAGACGGTTACAATTCCCATTGAGGTTAGGGCAGTAAAAGAAACAAAGGCACAAGCCTCTAGAAGGCACTTGGATCTGACAGCACGGCTCAAAGTCGTAAGATGACTTCTTGAATGTCATCTTACCGAATCAAAATAGTTTGCGTAACCTAGACTGCTAAACAGTCCGTATTTTTGCTTAAATTAAACTACATACGAACAGTCAAACAGAAGCTGAAAACGGAGAGCGAGACTGGGGACAGGGTTTTTTTCTCTCGCCTCACACGCCTTGCGTGCGTGTGAGGCTCGCGCGCTACGCTGCTCTTACTCTACTCTAAACCGATTTTGAGGAAAAACCGACTTGCACACCATTGACAAAAATCATTTCTACCCCTAACCCGCTGTTTTGTCACACGTTGCTGACCAGTAAACTTCAACTTCGTCCTGACCCTTATATATGATCTTCCAGTAGTTAAGACTTAGGTTTTAAATAACTAAGTTAATTATTAAAAGTTAAGCAGGATTATTCTATTGAGCGGGGTGTGTGTGGGAAGCGGGGGGGGGGGAGCGGTCCAGACTCCACCATACCCTCACGTCTTAATCTTAGATTCGCTGCTGATACTCCGCATTCGGTAAACTTCTCTACAAAGTTTTTTCTTTTCATTAAAAGTCTGGTTAAGTTTAGCTTACGTAAAAAGGAGGATGCCAACGATAACAGTCGAGAGAAGGCTTCTGAAAGCTTCTGTGCCTGTGAATACAAGCAAAAGAGACATTTCGTCACAATTGCTACTTTACTGCCTGTGCTGCAAGTCAGGCTGAAAACGAAAACAGTGGTACTACGTCGGGGACCCGGGGGTTACTCCCTTACAAGAGGCTAATGGGGATGTGCCGTTGGATGGGGTCGCATTTTCACGACTGGGGTGACTATAATGGGGTCGCAAATTTTCGGATTTTGAGGGTAAGTAGGGATTCAAAATGGGAAGATTCTCGGTTAAAAAAATCAGAAAGTTGTTGTTTATTGAATTTAACAATAAGCTCGCAGTGACCGCATTACATTCCGTTCTTGAAACCACACCGATAAGGTAGATGCATAAATAGAAAGTGACTAAGTGGAGATCGCGAAAATTACATTTTCCAAAAAGTGACTAAGATAGGGTCTATAATTGGCCCAAAAATAGACTATAATGGGGTAGGGGCTCTGAGAGGCCAGCGGCACATACCCAGCAAACGTTAACCCAAGTACCCTCCCCCCCCCCGGGGGGTCGGGAGAGGGGATAAAACACAATGATTTAGCTTTATCACCTGTGTTGCGATAAAGTGGGCAGTATTCTTCGCATTTAACCGTTTTGGTTCCCTTCGATTTGGGATTGGCGGGAACTGTAGAGTGCGAGGGACACCACTCAGTTGCTTCAACCTGACCACCCACATTAGAACAAGATTCACTGCAATCTTTCTCAAAAACGGTAAATTCCGTACAGTTAGATGACGCTGAAAAAGAAGAACAACATTTTTATGAAAAATGTGGGTCATTATTCTAGGAGGGGGTACGCTAATAAGTAAGAGACACGTTTTTTCCACTTTGAAGGCTGTGGTTGTTTAGCAGTCTAGATTCGAATGGGGCATGGAAATCTTGGAAGAGGGAATTCATATAGTTTTGGTCTAGAAACAAGTGATTCAAGCTGACCACAGACGTTTTTCTTTTTTCGACAATTCTACAGCGCGAACAAACCCGAGAGAGCGGTGCGGTGTATAAATCCCCCGCCGTTTTTTGTTTTTATACGCGCGCTCGACGATCTTTATAGAGAAAATAAAGGGTTTGTGAACATGCGACAAGCGGTGATTTGGTTTGGAAACCGATCATTGTTACCAAACAATTTAGTCAAGAATGCTTACTGAAAGCTCTTTGACGAGAAATGAGGAGCAGGATTGCTGCAAAGTTAGATCAAACCCCCCAAAACCGTGAGGTAAGAAAAACGCATACGTACGTGAAGGTGAAGGTATCAGAGCCTGAGTTGTGGGTGCAAAGCTCCTAGTTGTGCGGGTAACAACAGTTGAATTAGCGCGCTCTTGATGAAGACTCGAACTCACTGTTAATGTTGGGCTTACTGAGGAAGGACCAGGTTGACTGCGCACTCCTAACGAAGCACTTTTTGTGAGGGAATCACTCTGACGGGGGGGCGAAATGTGGCTTGTGGTTCCTCCGATTGATGAGTTAGGCTGTTGTTGGTTAACCGACTTTGGCGTGTTTCTCCCCGGAGAATGGGCAGATGGAGAAATTTCGGCCTTCGTCGTGACACGTATTTTCTCCGCAGAGCTCGGCGTAGTGTTCGATAGAACTTTGGTGCCTTGAATGGTCTGTGAAATAGAGATGGTGTTGTTGGTTTAATAATATTCCTAAGACTAAATACAATATGGACGGCCAACCACGTCTAAAGACCGAAAAAGGTACCAACTAACACTTGAAAGCTTCAAGAACTTATAAACCAACCTTTTGATAAAGCCGACTGTGGCCCCCAAAGGAGGCAGCGTGGCCGAGCCGCTAGAACGCTGGACTTGCAATTTTGATGGCCCTGAGTTCAAGTCCCTCCCTAACCGCTAGCTGGATTTGTTCACGGTAGTCACGAGTTCAAATCCTCGAATACGCTTGTAAATAGCCAACTGGTTCGCCTCCGGCCAGCTGAGATTCTTAACCCTGTTGAGTTTGATTTGAATTATTTGTTTCAGGCATTTGCTCGGCCTGACTAGAATGAGTGCTATAAATACTGCCGAAGGTAACTGACAAAGCTCAGTATTTTCTCCAGCCTTCATTTGAGGTCTTGTTTTCCATGAGTTGTGTATACAAAAACATGATACAAGGGCGTGGCTAGGATTTTTCAAAGGGGGGGGGACACACAGTTTCACACCAAGGGTACTTACCTGATTGGCATTTCGACATTTACGCCGTGTTTTATAGACTTGTCCACAAGTAGAGCTCAAAATGTTTCTCGAGCGCAAAGCGCGAGCTAGCTACCGGAAGAGGAAACGAGAAGGGAAGGACTTTGAGAAAGTCTACGTGTTTTAGGGACTTGTCAGAAATTAGCAGGGGGGGAGGGGGGGTGGAAACAGAGGGAGGGTCACAACTTTTTGAGACTGCAGAAAAGGGAGGGGTCATGAAAAATGGGCCATTAAAAGGGGGAGGGTCATGTAAATATGTGTCCGAGATCATGTAGAGGTTCACCCACAGAAGAAAAAAAGAAGTTCTTTATTTTGTAAAAAAAAAAACCTGGGAGAAATAGGAGATCTAGAGTCGAGTAATCAGCTGTCAGAATCAGAGTTGGACTCTTAATGCTGTCATCTAAAATGTATGTATATGGCATTACAAAGAACAGATTAGAAATATATTTTGAGCTCTCATACTTGTACTGACTCGCCCTGGTGTATTGCAAGAACTAGCTTTTATCATTTATACAAGAGGGGGAGGGTCATGATATTTTAGGCCAAGGTCAAGGGGAGGGTTAGCAAATTTCACTCCCATTGCAGGAATGGGTCACCTCATTTCCGAACCCAAATTTAAAATTCCCACCTCCCCTCCCCCCCTGCTAATTTCTGACAAGTCCCTTACTAAAAGTAACTTTTTTGGGGATGAGCAGTGAGCATGGGAGAGGGACAAGCCTACAAAATAGCTGGAAAAGATTTATTGGATTTTGATTCTTTGGATTCGCGCGTTTTCATTACCTGAATTATGGGGACATAAAACAATTATCTCATAAAGGGGGAGTCACAGGCACCCCAGGACCCTCTAGCTACGCCCTTTTGGTAAGACCAGGCCTGTGATGAGACGGAATAATGAAATTTAAGATTATAGCTTTACCTGCGATAGTGTGGTAGGTGACGCAGATTGAAAACCACCCTCGCTTGTTGTATGTGCTGCTGCTGATGTAAACGATGATGACAGTGGTGGAACAACCGGTTCTGAAGTAGTTGTAGCCACTGATGAGTTCGTGGTTATCATAGGAATTGATGTTGTTGATGGGTTTTTCGAAGGAACTGCTGATGAGCTTGGATTTACCGAGGAGGACGTTTTGGAGGAGGAGGACGGTGAAACTGTCCCGAAAGTTGATGGTGATTCTAAAGATTGTAATGGAGTAGTTGCTGCTGTTGTTGAAGTAGTTGCTACTGTTTTTGAAGTAGTTGCTACTGTTGTTGAAGTAGTCGCTACTGTTGTTGAAGTAGTGGATGAACGTACAACTGTAAGAGTCACCGTACTTAAAATGACGATCGATCCCAGAAGCCGCAAATCCATTTGTAGTAAAATGATCTCTAAATGAATAGTAAGTAAGCCAGAATCAGAATTCTTGCGAGAATCTATACTATACATTTCACAGCGTCCTTTTTCTGTTATACTAATTAGCTTCTGTAAATTATAATGACATTTACGATTGAGATTAGCAGTTGCTACCTGCAGGTCAGTGTAAGTTCTTAAGTTAAATTCTTGAAAAAGTTTTGTTGTTGTTGTTGTTGACCGGAAGAAGCTCAAACGCCAGCCGCCCATAAATTCTGACGAAAAAACAACACTGGCTCCTGGCAACACCCAAATTTACGCGAACTTTTATCTGATCACAGCTTGGACGTTTGCCTCGGAGCTTTTGTTCGTCGACAGGGGTAACTCATAGCCCATCCAACACGAACTCGAAGGTTAAGGGGTGCTTGTTACATAATGTTATGAGGTTTTACACTTATATGACTTTCAGACAAGAATGGGAGAGAAAGATCATTGATGGGATTGTTCAAAATTAGTGTGACGAACATTCAGTACTCATAGTCTATTAGTTCTCTCTTCATTTGTTCATATTAAACAATTTATAATTATGCGTGCGTTACACCTCCAACCTTGCAATTGGCCTATTCACTGTTCTGAGACAAGCGGTCCTATTTCATTGATTGGGTATTGAAGAGAGGGTACAGGCTGTAATTATGAAAAAAACACTGGTGTTTAAGTTTGCATATAACCTAAAAGGATGATAACCAGGTAAAAAGGTTTTTTGACGCAAGAAAGTCGGAACTTACAAATGAAATTTTATGACTGATTACAGAATTGGCCAAAACAAATTTCTTATGAGGGTTATCTAATTGCTTTCTGTTGTTTTGTGAACACAGTGTATTTGAATGGGTTATTTTTGTACCAGGCAGGTGCGTTTAATGTGAAACCTTCCTTTAAAAGAGGTTAAAATCCGGGGGGACACTCCCGTATTTGGCATGAGAAGGTTGTTCTGGATCAATTGAGGTTTCCGAGTAACTTCCCACCTACCCCTCCCCTAAGTGACAATTTTGCCTAAGATAAAAAGTCAGTGTTAATGTCGACTTAGGGGAGGGGTAGGTGGGCAGTTAAAAGAAACCTCCTTGAGTCTAAAAGAGGGTCTACAATTTCACTATCTAGCGTCTTGAACCGGGTGTTTCTTTAGACCGGAAGCCTTTAAAAGAGTGTGGAGCGGGTTGGCGATCACCTAGACTACGAGTAGTCCCCCATTTTTCCTCAGGGATAGTAGAGCGAGCGAAACGCGAACGTGCGTGAAAATCACCCCACGCGAGAAAGGCGACACGCGGCGGGGAGAGAGAAAAATGATTTTTGTCTCTCCCCGCCGCGTGTCGCCTTTTCTCGCGTGGGGTGATTTTCACGCGCGCTCGAGTTTCGCTCGCTCTACTATCCCTGAGGAAAAATGAGGGACTACTCGTAGTCTACCGATCACCCGTCTACATGTGTGATACGAAAAACTTTTTCAAGAAAATTTAAGTCTGTGATGTTAGTTTAAAAAAAAAAACTTCATTCTCTATGTGAAACGAAATGAATTAGGGTCATGAAATTAAGTATCTTGTCTTAAACAGGGTCAGGGTTTAAGGGCCTTGGTGGCACACCCCTACCCAAACTTCCCTTGAGTGCCCCCCCCCCGGGGGGGGTTAAAATGTCTGCTTGAGAAGATGCTTGAGTTTTGCGTAGCTGGAAATTACATGAGGGAGCGTGAGATAAATGTGATATATACATTATTCAAGGCAATTTTTGAGATATATTCTTACTTTCATCTGACGGTAGCATCGCCTAAGTAGGGACAAAAGCTTTCCGACAAGACAGTTTACAGAATTGCTAATTAACAATACTCTTTTACTATTCTTTTAATATGCTGTCTGAAATAAATAGTGATTGTTGCATGAATTAGTTTACTTTTATTGGAAGAAATTTATTTGGTTGGTTATGAGTTGACGGACATGTCATCATATTTATACCGACATGAATTATATGGTCAGTCACAATTCACGTGTGCTTCCGTTGCTATGGCAGTTCTTCCAAACACTAAGCCAAAATATTTGAGCAGATGTTTAAAGGGACAGTGTCCCGATTATGCGCACGCGCGAGCGTCATCTGTTTTTTCCTCAAAAGACAATAGAACTGTCAAATTGACTCGACAAGATTTCCTTCCGGACCGCACCGCCGACAGAGATTTGTTGTTTATATTCTCAAGTAATATTTTAGACTTTCGAAGAAGTCTTTCGTCTTATATAAAAATTTGGCTCGCGGTTCGAAGACTCATCGCGATTTTATCGCTAGCCGGGCCGCCTCGCGACCCGAAAATCTCGTTCCGCTCGCTTTAAAAACATATTTTCTAATTTGAAACTCGTGTCAGAGGTCAATCGCTCCAAGTCCAGTAATATCTGCCTGATTTGCTCGCGTTCTAGCCTCAAACGTTTGAAAGACATAAATAAAAATGCAATCTCAACGCCATGAATCATCACAAAGATTAGTCACGAATGATATTATGATTCATGTCACTAGTTTTTCAAAACGTGTAGCGCCTGTTTGTTCGATTTTGTCGGCCGTAAGCAGATTCATTTAAAAGTTTACTAACGCGTCGTTGCAAAACATTCTGCTTCACGAAGCTCCCCTCCACAAGATCTCCTCAGTCACATCAATGTCTCAACGGTTTCTTTCTTAGAGTCTTTATTGTTGCTGTTTCATTTCTGCGTATTCCTTTCACAATTATCTGAGCTTGTATGGAAGCTAGCAGAAGAAATAAGCCTTCAATCGGCATCCAAGTGCTTCCAATTTTTTGGTCCTCCGGCCAACGGCAATAAAAGTAACGCCAAAAAATCCAGATTTTGCCCAAATAAAAACTTAACAGGAACAAATTATCATTGATCTATAATCCTGAGAAGTTTTAGTGTCGTATTGAACCCGGCCAAGCGCGATGCAAACGGATTTTTCAAGATTCTCTTACTCTCCTCGCATCTTTTGATTTCGCGACATCCTGTCCAAAAATCAAAGTTTGGTGCATGCGCAGTAACGGGATACTGTTCCTTTAAGAGTGGTAGTTACCATATCTATTCATCCATATTAAAACTAATGTCTCTTCAATTTCAAATGCGTGTTTTTCTTAAACTACTTGGAAAATCAAACTAATATTTTTCACGAAAATCTTACGAGGGAAAATGCTTTGTAATTCCCCGTTCACAGTCATAACAACTGAAACACCTTTAAAACTGTTTGATTAAATACGGTTTAGAATTGGTCTCTTGGCAGAAAGCCGCCTACTGATGTTTGCCGACTACAATTTTAGCAAGCGGAATTGAAGAACAATTAAAGTACATTAAAAAGCCTCTATTACAGTTTTCCGTCTCTGGTTTTCGTTTTTGTTTTTAACTTGGCTTAATTCCTTGGTATATAAGTCAAGAAATAACCATAAAGCGCGATCGTTATATTTTTTGTCACCAAGTATTTTTAGGCGGCCTCAAATTGTCAACTACAAATTAAAGTAGCTTCACTGCAAGCTTAGCTCTGCATGATATATAATGTACATTTATGGTTTATTAAAAAGGTACGTATTATTTCGCGACTTTCCGTGATACTCAAGATGTATTTACAAACACTGCGTTCAGATTGAGAACGTGCGTAAAGACATAAACAATAAGTCACTGTTTTGTTCACCATTATAAGTATCCAAGAAATGGCTTGAGACCAGGGGTTAGGATCAGGAAGAGGGGATGAGGAAATCTCATACTAAGCATTTGAATCCGCTTTTTCAAGGACTAGTTCATTCTTAGTATTCTTTTAAAGAAATTTTTCCGTGCTCAAAATGGGTGAGCAACCGTCGTATAATAAGTGAAAAAAACTGAACACACACACTTCCATAAACACTTTATAAGAACCCTTTTCTGGTCTGTAGTTTTTCCTTACTAATTCCTGGGCATTATCATTTTTCGTCGAATTTCGCGAACAAGTCGATCAATTAAAGAAAACTGTTCTGTAAAAACGCCCTCACACGATTACATGGAAGTTGTTCTCTCCCGGTTATGGGCTTGTGCGTTTGAAAGGGCCGTCGAGGGGATGGACTAGACTCGCTCCAGCCTGTGAGTGTGTTCCTGAATGATTGAATAGGGCTGTTAGTGTGACTAAGCTTCAAAACTAAGTTTAACAAAGCATATAGAAGTTGTTCATGGTCAAAAGTCCATAGCTATAATTACTTACTTCCATATGCACATCTTTGGTGAAAAATTTGTGACTTTGTCTCTTTGAACTCCAGTTTAATGATTTGTTACTCCATACCTTACCTTCTAGCTTCACATTTTGCCTGAGATATGAATACGAGATCGTTTCTGTAATAATATCACTTGGCTTGTTATACCCTGTTATCGTCTTATTTACACGAAAAAAGACATTTTTCTTATTTATTTGCGTTGTTGAAGATACGTTTTAAGGCATTATGACACCTACATCGATTGTCGTGCTTTCTTTTCGATGCATACTAGCAGAATATGACTGTCAGCAGTTACAACTGATATCTCTCGCGTCTAATTGGCATATCAGCTCCAGTTTTCAAGACTGTTACTGGCTCTACATGGTATGTTTCTAATCAATTCATGTCGCATGCAAACGCAGAGCAACGAAGTCAACCAATCAAAACGGCATTTGAAGTGATGATAAAGTATGACAAAATGGTACGGAATAGATCGCATCGCCGGCGG